AGGGACGGGGAGGTCCCGCTCAGATCCGCGCGGTGCCTCACTCCGCTGGACCCACCAGCAGCCCTCGAAAGTGGCGACAATTTCGCAGATCGCAGCCCCCCACGGACGGGAAGGTCCCGCTCAGATCCGCGCGGTACCTCACTCCGCTGGACCCACCAGCAGCCCTCGAAGAAAGTGGCGACAATTTCGCAGATCGCAGCTCCCCAAGGACGCGGAGGTCCCGCCTGGATCCGCGCGGTGCCTCATTCCGCTGGACCCACCAGCAGCCCTCGAAAGTGGCGACAGCTTCGCAGATCGCAGCCCCCCAGGCAAGGCAAGAGGAGACAAGAAGGAGGGAGGGAAAGAGGGGGGGCGGGAGGCGGGAGGCAGGAGGCGGGAGGAGAAGGACGCGTCCGCAGTGCTCTATTTGAAACGAACGCCCAACCAAGGAGGGTTGGAACAAAGTATTGATGATCCCCCTCTGGGGCACATGGCATTTTCAATTTAAGTGCGTTTCATGGGGCTCGCACCCTTTTTTACAAAAGAAACTGATTGGGTTGTTGCCCCCCCTTAACAGCAACAGCGGCTCCCGCCTGATACTTCCTCACAAAATATTCCAAATCGTGCTTCCGCGCGGGACTTCCTCATAATGTATACAAGAATCGCACTCTCGCGTGTGAGTTCCTCACAATTTACTCCGGCGCCGCACCCTCGGCACTCAGGAGTCATGCTCTCGCCGTTGATAATACTCACACGATTCATTCGGAAATCGCGCGATCGCTCCAGACTTCCTCGCGATTCATGCAGGACGTACGTTTCAGCAACCCGCCTGCCCCTTGTCCATTCTTTTCATCCGTCCTTTCTTCTCCTGCCTTAGGGGCTGCGCGAAATACACATTGCAGGTAAGAAAGATATTCCCCTAAGAGGGTACGATCAAAGACGAAGTGGGCGGGCATCGAGGGTTGGATATATGCGTGTTGAATGTCACGCGAGCAGGTAAGAACGAACAAATGTAAACTGATTATTGTTGGTATTGCTGTTGTTGTTGGTGTTGGTGGTGGTGTTGTAATTGTGAGTGGTATGTTGTTGTTGTTGTGATGGTTGTTGTTGTTGTTATTGTTGTTACTGTCATTGTCATTGTCGTTGTTGTTATCATTGCTGCGGTTGCTGTTGTAATTCTTGCGTTGCGTTGCGTTGCGTTGCGTTGTTGTTGTCGTCGTCCCACCCGCGACCCACCCGCAACCCAACCCGGGACCCGCCCCGCGACACAACCGCGTCCCACCCACATTGCTTTAACAAACAAAACGGGCCCCTCCTGCGGGCTCGTTGTAAAAATTGTAGAAATTAACGCCGGCGGCGTGCTTCTTCATAGCGTCGCAGACTGCCGACGTTCCCGCCGCCCCCTCACTCTTATCCGCAACAGCGGGGTGCTACGTGATTTCTCCTGGCGCAGCTCTCGTCTGTATTCCTTGATAGTTTCTCGTGGGGCCTGCCTGGGCTCTGGAGCCTGTCTTGGGCTCCTCTGTGAAGCCGTCTTGGATCCAGAGGCCCTCTTGGAACGTTTTTTTGGGTTGGAGCACAACAAACAATAATAGCGATATGTTTGTCACGCTGGAGTCCGAAGCCGCATTCGGGAGTCGGAGCCCACACGGCTCAACCCAGACTAAAGCACAATCTGATCAGCAGAGAGAAAGGCCACGCGGGAGCAAAAGTTTGCGAGGAAAGCTCAAAGCTCTACCGAAAGTAACAAACGGACGCCGTGCCCACGTAGCGTCCAGAGCGAAGATGGATATTCGTGTGCAAGCTTGCCGCCAGCAGCGCGCCTGCGGGAGGGCGAGGAAGGAGGAGGAGGAGGAAGAGCGAGGGGACAGTCCTGCGGGCGCAGCGGATATCTCAACGCGAGACAACGCGGTGTCGAACTGCTAAATGAGCCTTGCGCAAGGCGTATGCGCAACATGCCCGAAGTATGCTCTGATTAGATTGTTGCAAGTCTGCCTTGATCCCCCTCACCATCGACCGCCCCACCCCCCGGTGTTCGCCGAATCTTTCCTGCTTAATTCAAATCACGGCGCATTCAACAACAAAAACATACGAAAGAAGAAGAGGGGAGGAGGACAACGGGCAATCAACATCAAGACATGGCCGACTAAGGACAGTCAAACGTGCGCGTGCGCAGGCCGACCTAGACTGGACGGATCCCAGACCGAGGCCCTCGCGAGCACAACCAATAACATTGAAAATGGACATGGTGCGGACACGAAATGGAACTATATGGATGTAGGCTGAATGATAAAACTGCGTATGGCAGTCGGAAAGATACTTGACTACGCCATGGCACGATGCCCACATGTATCAGATGTATTGACGTTGTCTGCGCAGCCGTGTTCAAAAAAAGCAGGACCAGCACGCCGCGAATTCAAGTCAGTGAAAAATTACCCAAGCGACGAACCCAACCTCTGCGCAATGCTGGGCAGGAGCAGTTTGGGAGATTTGACGAGAAGGCGGCGACGTGACATGGACGCATATACTTCTGCGAGCGACATTCGGAAGGTTCGCATGTCCCAGATCAAGGGAAACACGATAAGTAACTAAGTGAACTCCTGAATCACTAAGGCAGACGCAAGGTCCAAAAGGAGGCGGTGGGCAAGGGGCTTGAAACGTCGGCGGGACAGCAACAAATGGGCATGGTCCACTGGACCCACCAGCAGCCTTCGAAAGTGACGAGCCCACCAGCAACCCTCGAAAGTGGCGACACTCTCTCAGATCGCAGCCCCCCAAGGACAGATCCGCGCGGTGCTTCACTCCGCGGGCGCCGTGCCTCACCTCGCTGCACCCACCAGCATCCCTCGAAAGTGGCGACGCATTGGCAAATCGCAACCCCTCAGGGACGGGGAGGTCCCGCTCAGATGGGCGCAGTGCCCCACTCCGCTGGACCCACCAGCAATCCCTCGAAAGTGGCGACAACTTCGCAGATCGCAGCCCCCCAGTGACAGGGAGGTCCCCGCTCAGATCCGCGCGGTGCTTCACTCCGCTGGGTCCACCAGCATCCCTCGAAAGTGGCGACAATTTCGCAGATCGCAGCCCCCAAGGGACGGGGAGGTCCCGCTCAGATCCGCGCGTTGCCTCACCACGCTGGACCCACCGGCAGCCCTCGAAAGTGGCGACCATTTCGCATATCGCAGACCCCAGGGACGAAGAGTTCCCGCTCAGATCTGCGCGGTGCCCCACCCCGCTGGACCCACCAGCAACCCTCGAAGGTGGCGACAATTTTGCAGATTGCAGCCCCCCAAAGACGGGAAGGTCCCGCTCAGACCCGCGCTGTGCCTCACTACCCGCCAGCAGCCCTCGAAAATCACAAGAATTTGACAAATCGCAGCCCCCCAGGGACGGGGAGGTCCGCTCAGATCCACGCGTTGCCCCACCCCGCTGGACCCACCAGCAACCCTCGAAACTGACAGCAACTTCGCAGATCGCAGCCCCCCAGGGACGGGGAGGTCACGCTCAGACCCGCGCGGTGCCTCACTTCGCTGGACCCACCAGCAACCCTCGAAAGTGGCGACCGTTTGGCAGATTGCAGCCCCCCAGGGACGGGGAGGTCCCGCTCAGATCCGCGCGGTGCCTCACATCGTTCAACCCACCAACAGCCCTCCAACCTGGCGACATTTTTACAAATCGCAACCCCCCAAGGACGGGGAGTTCCCGCTCAGATCCGCGCTGTGCCTCACCCCGCTGGACCCACCAGCAGCCCTCGAAAGTGGCAACACTTTCGCAGATCGCAGCCCCCCCAAGGCAAGGCAAGAGGAGACAAGAAGGATGGGGGCGGGAGGCCGAAGCAGGAGGCGGGAGGAGAAGGACGTGACCGTAGTGCTCGAATCAGAACGAATACCCAGCCAAGGAGGGCTGGGACAAAACATCCAGTTGGAACAAACATTAGGACACCTACAATTGAACTAGAGTGTGTCAGTGCAGCTCGGGCAGCCAAGGAGACACTGCGAAATATTATGCAATTTACTGCGCGAGGTCCACGCAGCAGCGAACGTTTTGAGCACAGCAAAGCGCCGGACAGGAGAAAGGGAGAGGATCACCGATTGACATCGGCACTAATATATGCCATCGATCTCCGCGAGATACTCTGGACACCCAGTCCGTGGATGAGCGGTGAAGGTCAAGGCGAACCCTTCATCCTCAACGCGTGCTGCTTTGCGCCTTCATCTCCTGCACAACGAGTTCGTGCAGCCGAACGATCGCCTCTGGGCGAAAAAACGACTGGAGTCCAGGCTCCTCGTGCGACGCAGCCGCCTCGCACTCCACTTCCGGACGTTCTCCTCGAAGCCCTGCAGCTGTGCCGCCATGACCTCGAAGACGGGCGCGGCGGGTCCAGCCCCGTCCAACCGCGACCAATTCCACTCGGCGGAAAATTCGCGGGCGTCACTGGGGGTGGCAGAAATCACAAGCGCCTGATAAAAAAAATCCAAGGGCCACTTTGACAAAATGCCAATGCTTACCGAGAAGCTCGTGCCCACCTTGAAACCGTAGAAAACGATGGCACGGGAGACGACGTACAATTTAGACAGCAATTTGCCAGGTGATCAGCACGGTCATTTCATACGGCACCAGTGTGAGACACAACCTTGGTTCCCCTAGTATCGTGGCTGATGGTGTCAAGGATCTGCCGCGTCCTTGAGACGATAGTCAAGTTGCGACGAGAGCGGGCGTGTCTGCGAACGTCTGCTGCATATTGAAAATCAAGCTCAGTCACGACAAATAAAGAATGAACGGGTTGAACAATGCGACGTGGATGGCCGGCATCGATAGCGGATGGGCCGGCGCGCCTGCCCAAACCAGCATCAACAGCGGAGGGCTGGCACGCCTGTCCAGGCCAGCAGCGATGGCGGATGGGCCGGCGCGCCCGTCCACTTTGAACATACGATTGCCCGGAGCAGCTGGCCCGGCACTGCGCGGGGAACAGGTGCCATTAGCGGGGCTGCCCAACTCCACGGGGGGCTGAACCGTTCGCGCGCGTCCATGGCACCCGGGAGCAAGGCGAGAACCGCGAGGGCAACGAGCAGCTTGTTCCAGCCTCCCATGGGGAAGATGGGTTGGGACGGATCTGCTGCCGGTGCCGCCGCGAAGCCTAAGTGCTCAACCAGCTGCTTGCCCTGAGCGTCCCACTCTTGGCGCTTGGTGGCGTTCTCCACGACGCCGACGTGGGAGTCGAAGGCCTGCGTGGCCTCGAAGACGGGCCGCAGGTCTGCGGCGGCGCGCTCACCCTTCGCGCCCAAGCATCTGTCGTCCATGAGCGCCCAACACAAGGCGGACGAGGGCCGCCGTCATGGCCCCCGGGGCGCAGCTACCGCCCTGTGGCAGGGCCTTGGTGGGCCAGATGGCCTCTGCGAGCTCGTCCGAGACGCAACAAACGCGAGGGCCAGCCCAAGCCAGCCGGCACGTCAGGATGACCGTCTCGGGAACTACCTCTTTTCCGAACGCCTCCTCAACGATGCGGCGCGCGATACTGTTGTGCGCTTTCGTGTGGTCCATTTCGAGCCCTGCGGTGCAAGCCTCCGAGAGCCAGTGGCTGACGGCGTGGACAACAGACCGGCTTGACAGGACCAGCGGGTCACTCTGCATCACAGCCATCGGGTCATAAGCGTGGTGCTGGCTGGAACACCAGGGGCGACGGGCGCTGCCTTTTCGATCGGCACCAGCGTGCTGGCCACGGGTTCGCCGTACTAGAAATCTAGCTCCGTCAGGTCGGCATCCTGGGCCGCAGCTCTGCCAGCAGCTGCTGCTCCAACTCCAGGAGCCTATCCCGGTGCATCTCCAGCGCCTTGCCGGCGGCCGCGAGCTGCCCAAGGCCCCTGCCCGCCCCTGCGCGGGCGGACTCCGCCTGCTGGAGCCAGTCGCCCGCAGGCCCCCTGGCAGGCGCGGCCCTGGCGGCGGAGCGCGGCGGCATGCTGGGCGCATTGTTCGGCGCTGCTCCAGCGACGCCGTGGAGCGGGGGAGCGCAGCTCATTGTCCGAGCCGGCGGGCGCTCGCGAGAAGCTGGCTGGGCGCCGCTAGGGCCCGCCCAAGTTGAGTCCTGCGCGTTCTTGGGTGGGTTCTCGGGTGCGCGGCCGCCTTTGGCTTCTTCAGGGCCGCGAAGAACAAATGCCATCTGAACCTTGGTATGATGCGGAGTCAGCAATGATTGGGTAAGATGCGAAAGATACGGAAGTATCCGTCGTTGACGTGCTCTGACGGGTGAAACTGCATATTCCAAGCGGGACGCAGAAGCCGCAAGCATTGCAAGTGGCGTTGGGGATACCACTTTGGCTCCGCTGAGATGTTGCCTGCCTCGTTGGCGAGTCCATCATTGTAGAGTAAGACGTAAGCTGCAGAAGAGAATTCGATGCAGTCGCCTGGATCAGAAACGTTGAGCTAGAAGGTATACTTGAAATCAATCGCTAGAGCCGAAACGGCTTGAGCCAAAATGGCTGCGGAGGCCCTCTTGGACCGTCTTGGGGCCCTTTCGGACCGTACTGGTGCTGTCTCGGCCGTCTTGGGCCCCTCTATGCTGTGAGGGTGTGCGCGAAGGGATCCACTGATTGCCCCTGAAGCGTTTCCACATTTCTGGGATGGCTCGGTGGGTCGAAATCTGCGTTCCGAGGGCGGCGGAAGACGCTTACTTGGGCGGATCTTTGTCGACAGCCCGGCTCCGACATGCCATGTCGCGATTTGGTTCGGGACGTTGCTCGGGTGCGCCGAAGTGGGGGGGTTAGCGCATCATGGCCCGAGGCATGAGCGCGGACGAGATGGGGCCAGGGAAAATCCCACCAGCCCTCTGGGCGTCGGTGGTTTAGAGCGTGTCCTCTTCCACCCCTCCTTCTTCCCCTTCGGGGAGGGGTTTACCCCTCCCCCTACCCCCTCCCCACTGACCTGGACAGGGGGGGCCGCGATCGGTCAGAGCGTCCAAAACGGCCTCGGCGAGGAAGCCAAAATCATTGATTTTACTGTTTGGGCCCCATTTTGGTCTTCCGAGGGGGGGGCTGAAATTTAGGAACCCCCCTTCTTTGATCGATTTCCTCCACGATGGCCGCAAGAGGCCCCCAGGATGCCCCAAGAGGCCGCAGGATGGCCCCAAGATGGCCCCAAGAGGCCCCCCAAGAGGCCCCCAGGAGGCCCCCAAGAGACCCCCAAGAGGCCCCAAGAGACCCCCCAGAGGCACCCAAGGCGCTCCCAGAGGCCCCACCCCAAGAGGCCCCAAGAGGCCCCCAGGAGGCCCCAAAGAGGATTCCGAACGGCCCACAGAGGCCCCCCCGAGGCACCCAAGACGCCGAAAAGCCCCTCAGGACGACCCTCTACTCGCCTGGGCGTCGTTTCTGGACGGGCTGGTGGGGATACGCGAAGCGACTAGAATATTGAAAGGAAAGGGGGGGCATAACTCTGGAAGACCTTATGGCCGTGAAAATGGTATCCACACCCCCTGGTCCGACCTGGTCCTCTCCCTCCACCTTGGACTCGGCTACGCGCAAGAGTGACCCTAGGCAAGAGCGACATTCAGTGCGCAGACTAAGGGGGCGCAACCTAGCCAAACCCAAGCGCGCAGACAGCCACTGGCCCCCAGAACTCCCGACCCACCTCTGGGAGACCGGTTTCTCGACCAGCGATCTCACCGTGATGACAACGGGGCCTGATACGATGCGATGCGATGCGACCACCGTTGCGGACGGCGTCCAGGCCTACTCAAGACCGGATGGGCGAGGCCGTGGCCTCAGGAGGTTTGTAAACTGCGGATGAACGACCGACGCGGTCTTACTCGTGGCGCTGAAGGCCTGGGTGATCCCCCGGCCACGACGTCACAATTTTACACGGCGCGCGCCCCTAGAATCTCGACCCCTTCCCAGGGGCCGGCTTATCATCCCGAGTCGTTCACATGTTTGGTTCTGGGGCCTGGCAAGAGCCCACAGAAGCTGAAAAAAGTAACAATCCTTCCATCGTATTGATTTACGGCGTCGCTCAAAACTCGGTCCCTGGACCTGTCCTTGGGTGCGTCCTGGCGAGAATTTCGAGGCAGATCCAGTCGTGGTGACGAGGAGTCTCGCGAAGGCCCCAAAAGGCACAAGATAACCAGAGACTTCTGGACTCTCGACTTTCGACGGGTCCTTGATGCCGTCGCTCTCCAACTGCGCCTTCTGGTCCTCCTCCTCTGGAAGGCGAGAGGGAAAAATACATAGAGAAACGCGGGCAACTCCTTCCGTGACCGAAGGCAGCATTTTTCCTCACTGAAGGCAACTTTTCTGCTCGCCCTCAATGAAAAACCTGAGGCACATTCTTGGACCTCCACTAAGCTGTCTGACTGAATGAAATGGTGTGCGCCTTCACTACGAAAAAATTGTAAACTGCCTTCTCTGGAGGGGGGCGAGCCGGAAAAAGACGTGACGGGTTCCAGAAACCCTGAACCCAAATATGCTGTTATCTCTTGGGGGCGCATGCTTCACTTCCGCCCTTACGCCGGCTTGCGCCGGCGGAGGCGGCCTCGTTTAATTTCCGCAGATCTTCTGCCGCCCTTCCGCCGCCGTCCGCCGAGGAAGAGGTGACAACTCCTTCGATCCTCGAAGACAGGGCCCTGTTTTGAGCGCCTCACGTGGAGAAGCGTGGGCAGCGCCTTCCGTGACCTGCGCGGAGGCGGCCTGCGCGGGGGGAACGTGGCTGCGTGCCCGTGCGCGGCTCGGCACTCGGGCCACTCTTCGTGGCAAGCAACGCTGCGCGCTCTCCTCGCCTGGCACATGCCTGCGCTGTCCCGCGGGGTCCGCCAGGAGATTGGACCCATTTTGGCTGGCGGCGACAAGATCACCAGAAAGCCGCGCGCTGGATAACATGCGGGAGCCGGGTGTACACGACCGGTGAGAAACACGGCCATCGAAGGACCGAGCGCTAGAACAACAAATGGCCACGTGCGCATACAACTTTCATCCAGGCCAACCTCTTCATGCCAACCGCACCGACAACCAGAAGCCCCACCAAAAAAACAACGGCATCTCTCGGGGGTGCAATGTTTACGTCCGCCAACGTCCGTCAACATTCCGCTGGCGGGCCCGCCGCCATTTTACTTCCGCAGGCCTTCCATTTTCTGGAGCGCCCCACGTATATCCAGCTTCCTGGTAGTGGAGGCCGCCCAGCTGGGAAACGAAGAAATGGGGTCGGGGGGTGGCGCCGCATCGCCGATGCATCGGCAATGCAACGGCGATGCCTGGATGAAAAACATAGGGCTGCGAATCGAGCTGCATCGCCGATGCACCGCCGATGCGGCATGAACCTCCGACCCCCCTCTGAGCGGCCTGGAGGCAGGCCACCAGCACCGGCCGACAACTGCCCAGACATCCGGTGGTGGGTTCTTCTCAGTCCGCGGCCTTGGAGCCACCCGCCCACTTCCCTGGAGGCCCCTGCGGCCCGACATCGGGCCCAGGAGGCGACATCAAGGGAAACCACCAGGATTTGAAACATCGAATCGTCGGAGATCGTGGTACCCAGAACTCCGCCAGCGTGATTTGTTCGCAACGTGGCCCCCAGGAACTCTGGACACTTTCCCTTCCAAGGGGAGGCCACGACCCGTCAAATTTGTCCGTCGTGCTCTTCACGACACACGGAGGCGGGCGTATGTCCAACCTTGCCTGGCGCCCTCCATGACGCCTCCCCCATTCCTCTCCTCGTCTGCCTGATCCGCCCGCCCTCCATGTGAACGCTTTCTTGTTCGGCGTTCCGACATTGGGCGGAAAGGGGGGGGGGAGGGTCTGGCTCTGGACCTCTGCTGAATGCGACTGTTTGACAACAGTGCGTCCTATGGGGGAGACTGCACCTGCTGGAAACAGGCGCCCCAAGTAGCCAAGACCTACTCCCGAAGGGGGGGGTGCGAGGAACCGCGCCGGTCGGCAAAAAAGTGAATAAGAAAACGAGCATCCTCCTCACTCCACCGTCCCTCCGTGTTCTTCCTCCTCGTGCTGCTGCCTCCAGCCTCAATCCTCCCTCCCTCTCCTGCCTCCCTGCTCGAGCCGCCCCGCCTCGTCCTCCCCCCACTTCTGATTCGGGTCCTCGTCCCGCTGGACGGCCAGCGCCTCGAGCTCTTCCTCCACGGCGGAGTCGAAGAGCGCGGGGTTCTCTCTCATCAGGTACAGGGCCTTCGGAAGTGGAGGCTCCGATCGTTGCTCCAGCACACAGCGGCTGCGTCCGCATGCGGTTCCACCCCTACATTCCCGCACACCCCGCAAACGTTTCGTGACCCCATACGGAGCTCCACCGAAGGCCACAGTGACTGCGTTCGCGTGCGGTTCCACCCCCATTTCGGAACACCCCTCACTAGTTTCGTGGCCCCATAGGGTGTTCCACCGAAGGCCCCAGCGGCAGCGCCCGCATGCGGTTCCACCCCCATTTCGGCACACCCCTCACAAGTTTCGTGGCCCCGTAGGGGGCTCCACCGAAGGCCCCAACGGCAGTGCCCACATGCGGTTCGACACACCATTTCGGCACACCCCTCACACGTGTCGTGGCCCCATAGGGAGCTCCACCGAAGGCCACAGCAGGAGGGTCAGCATGGCACCACCACCCCATTTCGGCACACCTCTCACACGTTTCGTGGCCCCATGGAGGGCTCCACCGAAGGCCCCAGCGGGAGGGTCCGCATGGCACCGCCGCCTCATTTCGGCACACCTCTCACAAATTTCGTGGCCCCGTATGGGGGCTCCACCGAAGGCCCAAACGGCAGCGCCCGCATGCGGTTCCACACACCATTTCGGCACACCCCTCACACGTTTCGTGACCCCATACGGAGCTCCACCGAAGGTCCCAGCGGGAAGGTCAGCATGGCACCACCACCCCATTTCGGCACACCTCTCACACACGTTTCGTGGCCCCATCGGGGGCTCCACCGCCCAATTTCGGCACACCCTTCACAAGAACCATGGCCCCGTAGGGAGCTCCACCGAAGGCTCCCGTGGAAGGGTCCGCATGGCACCACCGCTTCATTTCGGCACACCCCTCGCTAGGTTCGTGGCCCGATAGGGTGCTCCACCGAAGGCTCCAGCGGGAGGGTCCACATGGCACCGCCGCCCCATTTCGGCACACCCCTCGCACGCTTCGTGGCCCCACAGGGAGCTCCACCAGAAAGTCCGCATGGCACCGCCGCCCCATTTCGGCACACCGCACACGCGTTTCGTGGCCCCATAGGGAGCTGCACCGAAGGCCCCAGCAGGAAGGTTCGCATGGCACCACCGCTCAATTTCGGCACACCATGGTACCACCGCCTCATTTCGGCACACCCCTCGCACGTTTCGTGGCCCCATAGGGAGCTCCACCGAAGGCCCCAGCGGCAGGGTCCGCATGGCACCGCCGCTCCATTTCGGCACACCCTTCACACGTTTCGTGGCCCCATAGGGAGCTCCACCGAAGGCTCCAGCGGGAGGGTCCACATGGCACCGCCGCCCCATTTCGGCACACCGCACACAAGTTTCGTGGCCCCATAGGGAGCTCCACCGAAGGCCCCAGCGGAAGGGTCCGCATGGGCAACCGCCCAATTTCGGTACACCCCTCACACGTTTCGTGGCCCCATAGGGAGCTCCACCGAAGGCCCCAGCGGGAGGGTCCGCATGGCACCGCCGCCCAATTTCGGTACACCCCTCACACGTTTCGTGGCCCCATAGGGAGCTCCACCGAAGTTCCCGGTGGCAGGGTCCGCATGGCACCGCCGCCCCATTTCGGCACACCCCTCACACGGTTCGTGGCCCCATAGGGAGCTCCACTGGCAGCTGTACCCACAACGTGGTATTCACAAATGCGTATGGTTGGGTTATCTCATGTCCTCAATCCTGATTCCACACGATTTTTGCTTCAAAAGGGGCTGCCTTGGGGCCCGCGGCCCACAAGAAATTGATCCGGGACGAACGCTGTTCCCAATGAAATGGACAAGAACCTTGTAACTGCGGAAGAAAACTTGTGGTGCCCCTAACCCGGATAGCAGGGCGACAGAAGCTTCTGGAAGGTCCTTCGAAGGAGCTCTGGAAAAACTCTGGAAAGGAACTTCTGCGAAGCTTGACGGCACACGTATTGGGAAACAGTGACCGCGGATGAAAAACAACGCATCGTCGGGTACATGCGTGAGCAGCAGCAGGAGAGAAATCCCAGAGACTGGCCACCTGGGGGGTTCCAGAGACCACAGACCTGCAGAGGGCTCCCGCGGACGTCCCCACCAGAAACACAGAGACACTCGACGACCTGGATCCTGGACCCAGGCGCCTTGATAACCGAGGGACCCGAACACTCGAGGGATCGACTTGTTCGAGACATGCCCACTCCGACCTCTCGACCCCTTACACGGGGCCGGCTTCTCCTCCAGAGTAATTACAGCTGAAGGTCTCAAAAGTGTCACAGGCGCCCACAGAAGAGGCCCCACGAGGTTTCCAAGAGACACCAAAGAGGCCCCCGAGAGGCCCCCAGAAGCCAATCAGATGCCCCCAAGGGCCCTCCAAGAGGCCCCCGAGAGGCATTCCAGGAGACCCTCAGCTGCATCCCCGAGGGTCCTGACCCACAGGCCAGGCACGGTGGCACGACTCCTGACGAATTCACCCTTCTGGGGGTCGGCGGAATGGCGTAAGCCTCTTGAGTCATGTCTGCTGATGGTCCCAAGTATCTCAATGACTTGAGTCATGTCTGCTGATGAGCCTGCGAGAGGCCCCGAATGGCAAAACACGGGCCGTCTCGACAATGTTCGACCCGCTGAGTGTCGCCAGACGTCCGACGACAGGTTTTTGTTCAGTCCGCGACCCCAGAACTCCCGACCCCTCCCCGGGGGGGGCAGCTTTCGTCCCCGAGCAATGTGTGATAGCCCCCCCCTGGTCCACAAGCGGCCTCCAGGAGGCCGGAATCGAAGGGACACGCGGGGAGTTGAAGGCTTAAGTTCGGAGCCCCCTACCTCAAACCCTGGCCCCCGGATCGACCTCTCCAAGAGTGCGTTGTGGCTTGCATTTCGAGGCGGACGCGGCAGTGGCGACGCGAGCGCCCCATGAGAACCCAGGCACGAACAAGACACATCGAGCCCTTCGAGCCTCAGCCTTCGAGCCTCGAGCCTTCGCGAGGCCTCGGATTCCTCCTGGACCTCTCGGCCACTTCCCCTTGGGCAGCTTGCGCTGTTCCCGAGCTGCCTCTGCCGACGGCCACGAGACAGACCCGAGGCAGAGCAGACACCCACGAGACCTCGGTCGGCGGCACGCCCAGGGAGGGGAGAGAGAGAGAGAGAGAGAGAGAGAGAAAGAGAGAGAGCGCCAGAAAACGTCCTGCAAGGACGGCCCTATGAGAGCCCGGCTGGGGCGCCGGAGCGCCAGAAGGCTCGCTCGTTGTAATTGCCGTAGTGGAGGAAGCGACGCATATAATCCAAGAAGCCTTCTTCACGAGTCTTCCACCATGGTAGGTTCTGGGCCAACACCCACCATTTGAAATCGTTGTCGGTGTCGGCCACGTCATGTAGATAAGATACAATGTCATCATGCCAAATATGATTTTGCCCGCCATGTCGGCGAAAGGCTGGGCGTAGGTCGTGTGTACATGGGTCCCAGCTTGCACTCAGTCGTGTCCACCTGTCGTGATCGTGGTTGGCCACGCGTGCTGCGAACGCCCATTTTCACTTGAAGTATACGTCGGTCCAATCGTCGACTCGTGCTCGTTTGGCGTGTGCCAAAGCGGTGGAGGTACTCCTCCGTATGACATGAACCCAAGACTCAGATCGGTTGCTCTTGTCTCCATCGGTTGCTGTTGTCGGTGCTGGTGTCGGTGTTGGTGCTGGTGCTGCTGTCAGTGCTGGCGCCCAGGAGGGGGGGGGTAAGTGGGAGGGAGCATGCCTCCGAAGGCGGCGGGACTTCTCAGAAGCCCTCGCGCCTTCTGAGAAGCCGCCTCTGTCGTCGGAGGAGGCTCAGAGCACCTCTCGAAGGCCCGAGGCCTTCCGAGCCTTCTGAAAAGGCCCGCCCCCTCAGCATTCCCCCTTGGGCTCGCCCCTGCCTCGGAGTCTCGGGAGGTCTGGGCTCGGCTTTCAGAAATCAGCCCCTGGGAAAATACTGGAGAGCGTTCTGGCCAGAGCTTCGGGGCGGACCCAAATCGTGGCGACTAGGAGGCTTCTGGAGGTCCACGTGGGGCGGAAAGCTATTCAAAAAAGGCATGGGCCATCGAACTTCGAGGACGCGGCCGAGGAGGGAGAGGAGGGAGACGACGAGGAGGATCAGGTGGCCCTTCTCCTCCTCGTCCTCCAGGTCCTCCTCCTTTTCCTCCTCGAGCCTCCCACTCATTCTCCTCCTCGTCCTCGTCCTGGAACCTCGATCCTTCGGAGGTCTAGGCGAGGTCTTCGAAAAGCGGCGCGGCGGCGGAGGAGCTGGAGTAGGAGCAAAAGGAAAAAGGGGGAAGACGAGGAGGGCAAGGGCTACTGAGGATGGCCGTGTCGCGAAGACGTGCTATTTTGGAGGAGAGGACACGGAAAAGAAAGAAGGCGCGGCCAAGCCGACCTCTTCCGTGACGAGCCCCTGCCGCAACGAGCCCCTCGCCTTCCGACGGGACACGGACGAGTGTGCGAAGAGGGGTGCCTGGAGCGCTCTGCTGCCATGATACGCTACGCACAGCTCGTCAAATGCTGGCACGGATCTCAACACGTACGCTGAAAACGTAGGTCTGGCGCGATACGTTCGCCAAAGGGGTCGGCCAACACGCGCCGAACCAACGCGCGGCATGTTCAAACCAGACTTGTTGAACACGGTACGTGTTGCGAGTCAATGCGGGCGTATCCGCACAGCTACTATTGAGGGTGAGCAGGCACTGTCGGTTTGCCAGGAGTCGGTTAATCCGCCCCTGAAGGTAGGGAGATCTGGGTCTGGGGAGGGCGGAGACGTGCTGTCTTCGAGGGACGAAAAACGAGGAGTGTCCATCGAGAGATGAGGACGACGACGACAAAGAACTTTGGCGGTTTCGTGAAGACGAGCTCTCTTCGAGGAAAGAGAGGGAAGAGGAGGAGGAGGAGAAGGAGGAGAAAGAGGAGGAGGAGGAGAGGAAGGGAGGAGGAGGGGGAGAAGAACAAGGAGTGAGAGGGCCGGTTGTCCATTAGGAAGCGCCCGAAGAAAGGGAGGTGCGCAAGGAG